AACGCGTCTCTCCCGGAGCGGTGGGCGCGTTGGCATCTCCGTGCTGAGCTTTCTTTTCGCGAGGCGGCGTCCCAAGGTCTCGCGGTCATTTCTCGCCCGTCCGAGCGGTCTAAGGGGTCAAATCCTTCGCTCAGGCCCTCGCAGCCTCCCGCGCGTCATCATGCTGCCGAGCCCGTTGCTCTGCGTCGGCTGCGGCGCCTGCATCGTCGCTTGTCTGAGCGTTTCCGCCACGATCCGTCGGCTGGCTCCAGCCCGTCGGACTGGGCGGCCCTCTGCAGGGCTGAGCAGGATGGCATTTTGTCCCTGCAGCCTGGCGCTCCTTCCATTGGCATTGCCCTTGATGCCATTGATCGTGCCATCACCAACCTTTGTCGTCAGGCAGCTGCTGCGCGTGCTGCTGCCTGGCGGGCCAAATTTCGGCAGTGGTCTTCGGAGGTGTGGCGGGCTGCTGCCCCTGTGCTCAAAAAGTCGTTGGAGCCCCCTGCTTTCACTGCCTCCGACATGCGGCATGATTGGCAGGCGATTTGGTGCCCTGCTAATGCGGCTCCCGAGGCTGCCGCCCACTGGCGTGAGGCCGCGAGGGCCCACGCCCTGCCGCAGCCCCGTGCCGAACCCCAAGCTTCGTTTCCCACTTTTGATGCTTTCTCTTCTGCGCTGGCTTCCGCCTCTGGCTCTGCTGGTTTTGATGGTTGGGAAGCTTGTGAGCTCAAGGCGTTACCGAAGCACCTTCCTGAGTTGTGCACTGAGCTCTATCAGCTTTGGTGTGACACCACGCGGTCGGAAGCTTCTGCCTTCGTGCAGGCTGCGTCTTCCTGGAAAACTGTTGGCTTGCCCAAGCGTGGGTCAGGGTCTCGGCCCATATCCATCGGCTCTTGTCTCTTGCGCGCCTGGCATCGGGCGATCCTCTCATCCCTTTTCCCTGCGGCTCCGCAGGGCCAGTGGGCTTGCAAGGGTGGCTCAGTCCTTGCAGCCACCGCTGCCTTCCTGACCACTCCGGCCAGCGCTGTGGCTGAGATTGACTTGGCCAAGGCTTTTGACTCAGTCGACCACTCCGTTGCTGAAGCTGCTTTGCTCTGGCATGGCCTGCACCCTGATGTGTGTCGTTACCTGGTTTCGGTCTGGCAGGCCGGTCGCGTGTGTGTGGTGTCTGGCCTCCCATCGGAGCCCATCTTTCCCCACCGCGGGCTCCCCCAAGGTGATCCGGTTGCCGGCGCCGTACTTGCGTACGTGCTCGCTCCTTGGAGCTCTGCTCCTCGTCCTAGCTGCACCCTTTGGGCTTTCGTTGATGATCGCACTTTGGCTATCACAGGCCCGTCTGGGCGTCAAGGCTTGCTCGATGCGCTTCAGTTCACTCGTGAGTTCGACAATGCCGTCGGTCTCACTGAAAACATCGACAAGCGGCAGATTTGGATTGAAGGGGAGCATCACCGCATTGAACACCTTGGGCTGTCCTTGGCCCTTTTCGATGCGAACTGCCCTATCCTTCCTCGCAATGGCTGGGATCCGCTTGTTGGCATGATTCAGCGTTTGGCCACCATCCCGGGTGCCGCTCATGTCCGTGAACGTTTGGCCGCTGGCTTCATCATGCCTGTGTGTCGCTGGGCTTGTCCTTTGGTGAGTTTGCCGCCGGCTTCGGCCGCCCCGCAGCTCTTGCGAGCCATTTTGGCTTCTCAATGCACCTGGTGGTGCGCTGGGCGCTGGTGGGCCCAGCGCATTCAGCTGCATCCCATTTACGGGACCGCCATTCATGGTTTGTCGCGGGTTCGCCCTTTCGTTGACCACTTGTCCCCTCACCTCGCCAATGCTGTGGATGCCTACGCGTCGGCGTTGGGTATGCTTGTGCACCGCTTCACCAGGGAGCATGGTCTCGCTCTGGCCTTCCCTGCAGGGACAGACATACGGCTTGCGTCGCTGCTTCCTGATCCTGAATCTCCTTTTAACCCTTGTACCCCTCTTGGCAAACATGTCTTGCGGCAAGCTGGTCGGCTCCTTGCTTTGGGTTTGGTCAAGCTCTCGCGTTTCGACTCTGAAGGCGTTGACAGCATCGACCTTGAGGCCTCCAGCCATTTCATTTGGGCTCGTTGGGTTCGCTCCCTTAGCAGCGAGGATAGTGCCCTGCTTAATATTTGGCGCTCGGGCGCGGCTCGCACTCCTCCTCGTCGCCATTACAGGCGTAACAACGACTTGTGTGTTTGCCCTTTTTGTGATTTTCAGCGTGCTTCTGCCCGCCACTTTTTCTCTGATTGCCCTCGGTTTGCCCCGGATCGGCTTGCTCTCCAGGATCGCTTTGGTATCCAACCCGATTGGTGGTCCTTGCAGCCTCGTGTGACGGCAAAATCTGGTTGGGTTGTCCTGCATGCTCACCCTTCCCCCATGCAACGGGCTCGTTGTCAAGTTGCGGCGTGTGCCTTAGGCATTGCCATTGCTAAGGCGAATTCCCCGCGGGATTCCCCTTATTGACTTCTAGTCCCTGGCCTTTTCTTGTACTCGTGAAGACGCTTCCCGTGTCTTACCACTTGTGCCTTCTGGTGCCGTGGTCGTTTCTTACTTTTTGTGCCCCTCAACCCTGTGTCAGGTTGGGTCACTTCATCATCATCATCATTTCGGTCGGAAGTTTCGGTCACCCGGAGCTTTGCCACAGGCCTTGCCTCTTTGTGAACCACGGTTCCTGTCCGGCAGGGTCTTCTTGCAACTTTTGCCACTGCAGCCATAGCGACAAGCAATTGAGCAGGAAGCATCGAGATGAAATCAAAAGGCTGGGGGAAGCACATGTCCTAGCTTTGGTACTGCCTCACTTGCTTGCCAAGCAGCTTCCAGCACAAGAGGAGACGATTGCTTTGCTCGAGCAGCACTTGGTTTCTCTCCCCAGCGAAGCAAGGCCTGCGATGCCGAGCAACATTCAAGGCTTAAACCGTTGCTTGGCATCGTTGAAGTTTAGGCAGCTTTTGGATATGTGCGAGTGCAAGGATCAGACTAAGATCCGTGAATCTATCTTAAATATGCAGGCACTCATTGCTGCCCAGGAGCCAGCAATGTATGCACAGAGCTTCTCTGTGTGATGATGTTCACTGATTCACTGTGCATTCGGAATAGGTCAATCAGCAGTTCCACGTGATGTAGGAATCCATGTTTCCGCACATTTGCCCGTCACTGGTGCAGTTTGTCTGGTCAAAATCGGAAGTGCACATCATCACATGAAGCTGCCACGGCAAGCCTGCCGGTTCCCCCCCTTCTGCCCACTAGAATGGTTCTCAAAACTCTTCTAAGAACCCTTCTACGAACCCTTTGAAGAAAATTCGAAGAACCCTTCTTGGGTTGTGGGAGGCCCTGAGATTCACAACATGGATGCAGTCACGGCGCTCTGATTTGAGCATTTAACTTCCATTTGCTGATGTCGATTGTCGATTTAAGTTTTACTCACATGAACCCAAGAAATAGTGTCCTCCAAAAGAAGCTGCTTGCAAGAAAGGGTTTCTGACTTTGAGGCGAATTGTCAGGTGAGCATCTTCATGTTGGATGTTACTGGTGTTTTTTTTCTTCTGCAAATGGAAGATAGCACTGTGCACTGTTCTTCTGGCCTGCGCCTAGACCTGCAGGCTGATAATGTCGCCAATTTGACTTGCCTCAGTGAGAGTTTAGAGGTCGCCCAGCAAGAAGTGTGTGCGGTGCAGTTGATTCCTGAAATTTGGCAAGCGAAGAATTGCAAGCACACTCGGAAATCTACCATGGCATCTGACTACAGAAAACTCGGAATGCTTCGGGGAGCAACCGAATTAAATGAATGTTTTAATTGTCAAGCGACTCGCTTGTAGAGGATTCCACAGGATCCGATCTTCCGCGTTCGGCCACAGCTGATACTCACGTCATGCTATATATATATAGTGTATGTATCTATGAATATATATATATATGTATGATACATGCTTTTGAAGTATCCAATAACCGCCTATCTAGGGGAGTCATGCTTAGTGAGTGATGCAGTCATGTATGCAACATCATTGCCCCTTGGTTCTTAAAACCTGGGCAGTGGCAATCCTTTAGAGCGGCGAGTTGACAAATTTCTGTTGGAGCCGTTTGTTTCACGCGGAAGCTTGCCCCGAGCGGAGCGCTGGTTTTGTTTCTGATGGTTTAGCGCAACATTTCGCAGAGGCAAAAGTGCGCGGAGATGTTGAGAGCAGATTTTGTCAATCAGAAGATGTGTTTTTTAGAATTGGATGCTCCCGTCGCGAAAGTTTGGAGGCAGGCAGGAGGTGGTGCACTGGGCCCCGGCCTCGAAAGCTTCCTTCGGATCTGGAGGTCCCAATGGTGAAGTGCTCTTTGAAAGGATTTAGAGAAGCTTCTCAGTTGTTCAGTGGCCCCCTTTTTCCCCCTTTTTTGTTGTGGCTGCCCCACTAAAAACGGGTTTCCCCAAAAAGGGGTTCCCTTTTTTTTCCATGGTCACTGAGCAACCGAGGCTTATGTCAGAATTGGGGCTCTCTTCAGGGACCGGGGCCTGGGATCAGAAGTTTCGTTTCCGAAGTCGTGTCTTTTGACAACCCCCCTGATGGAGGCGTCAGAGGGTTACACTTGGGGTTGCATTGGTCCGGACTGCGTGAGGAAGGCGCCCGCCCGCCGTCTTGCTGTCTTGCTTGAGTTCTCACAGGACGCCGTTCCAACCCGAAATCTTTGTTTGGGCTGGAAATGTGCCTTCACCAAAAGAGGGCAATTAGTTTGTCAACCGGATTTGTGCTCAGATGAGGAGCCCTCCCCAAATGGCGGGTGTCCTCATTGTTTCAATTCCCCATTAAGCACTCCCCAAAAGGAGCCGACTGGTTTTGATACACCCCAAAATACCCTGCATTGCGCTTCCGGTTGCCAGCTATCATCGTCATAAGTAGCCAAGGGAACCAGCATGAAAACCTAGAGGCAGACATAGGCGGGTACCATTATAGTGGCAACTGGCAGCACTGGGCTGGTTCTCGGGTTGAACATTCACCGAGTCACGGGTTGCTCTATCCAAGGCTCCTTCTCCTGAGACTCTGCCTGAAGCCCTCACATTCTGCGCCTCTGCCTTGCCCTACCTGCAGGCAAGAATTGTGTGAAGGATCGGGGGGGGGGGATTGAGGCGCGGGGGAGGCTTGTATTTGATCAATTTCGGATACCTTTTTTTAGGTTGGTCTGATGAGAAACCACAAGGAAGCAGCCATTTGTGGGCCTGTCTACACCACACGTACCCTTTTCGCAAAGCGTGGGGCTGCCTGTTTTGGGATCCATGTATGTGTAACCCCTTCAATCAAGAAACACATCCCAATTCGGGTCCAATTTGTCAGTTAGTGTGGTTCCAAATAAGCGCCGCAAAGGACATGACAGTGTGCTTCCCAGCAGTTAGTTTATCGTGTTCGGCTGGCTTCTTTTCAAAGAAGGAGGGTTGTCCACAACCGGGATTCAACCACCTTGTTGCGAAACGGGCTTTCCAAACAAACCCACAATGTTGTTTTAGTTCCTCTAACGGACACCACACGGAGGTGGATTGCTCTTTGTGTTTGTCCAGAGCAGCAATATTGAACACCCAGGAACCGCTTAATTAACTTGTGTTAGTGTATGAAAACAACGGTGATACACAATATCTTATATTGGTTGTCAAGCAACGGCTTAACAGCGCCACTTACAACTCCCTTCAAGGTGACATGTTGGGCTGCCTTCAAGCCTCATCGAACTCGAACAATAGATCATTGTCGCCAAGTTGTGTGTGTGTGTGAATGTTGCTTGGTTGTTCAAGAAGGTGTGGCTGCGTTTTTGTTGGATCGAAGCCGTTTCGCTTCACTGGCGCCTTGCTTTATTTGGCCTCAGATTCTCTGTCGAAAGCTAATCGACCTTTTGAACATTTAAGTTGCCAGCCACTTTGTGCTTACGTTCAGTGCAAACCTTGGCATCGAAGCGGGGAGATGGTGTAGGGAACGATTGAAAACGAACCAACAAGGCCAACCATTTTGGGTGCCAAAATGACTCGCCTATGCTGGCGTGCAAGTATGTTTGCACAGTTTTCATGATTATTGTGTTCGCCGTTCTTCTAGCGGGAAACCAGAGGACCGCCACCCATTTGTTGGGTTCCCATTTTGAGATGTGCCAATCATCAGCATTATAAGGTGCCTTGCGACGCGCCATTTGAGTACGCGAGAAAGTTTTCATCGGTGACACTCCGATGGGAAGATGCCACAGCAAACTCATAGGGCCAAATGCATTTTCTGTTACCACCAGTTTAGGAGTTCCCTATATTTCTCTTTACACACACCAACCATATTTATTCTGCAGGTCGGGGTTGATTCCAGGAGTCCCGCACACGACCCCCCCCTCCTCAAGCATGCCTATTTGAAAATTAAGTGGTCTGCAAAAGTGTGGGATTCCTTCCTAGGTATAGCATCTTTGTTTTACAGGTTGCAACCACCAAGCCTTGCAACGGGATGCTTCCAGCATTCTTTCCGTTGCAAGTAACTGTTTTATGCGATGTGTCCAAAGTAGTCCTCCAAAAGGCGGGGTTCCTTTGTTGAGATGGACCCAAAAGCGTCTAGCTTTGACATCCCTAGTTGGACGCTCCCTTTTGCCGCTTCAAACATCACAGTCAGGGCGCACCTGCCGCGTATTTCTTTCGCTGGGGAACCATGTCGGATGGCGCTCAGGCCCAGGCGCAAGCAGTTTCTCCGGATCGCCCGGCCAGCAGGAGTCTTGAGGGGGGGGCATAGGCCAAACGCATGGGTTGTGGATGTGGCTCATGAGGGACACACTGGTTTCCTATTGGTTTCCCTAAAGCTTCCTTGCATACTGTCAACGGACAAAATCCTGCACCAGTTGGGATGGACGAAACCCATGCTGTGATAAACCACAAAGTTGCGACATGGATTTGTCCACAAATCCGGGAACCTGGATGAGCCGTGTGGTGGCTTTGAGTTACCGCCTGGTTTTGCATGGGAGATGTGTTCAAGCAACATGGAACCGGCTGGGCTGAAACGGGATCGACATGATGCAAACGACAAGGTTCGAGGGGCCTAGCTTGAGATGTAAACTCCGGCGTGGGCGTTTTTTAAGCATCACCTTGCGGTTGCCAATGTTGGATTTGCCATGATTTGCCTTTGGCTGACATGTGAAGGGGAGAGTTTAGTGCAATGCAACCAATCAAACAAATGCAAATCTATGCTAGTAGCCCTGGAGCAGGTGCCCCAGTATGTGAATATAGAGTTCACATGCACGCCCTTTGATTTACCCGTTTTGAGTGTATGTAGCAACCATACAAGTGGTGCTCATGCATAGCCAACAGAACCTATATAGGCACGCAGGCCTCGCTACTCCAGCTGACTCTAGTTTATGAATTCCCTGAAGGGGATTTTCTCTTTCGCCTTTGTGTTTATGGACTATAGGTAGCTGAGGAACACGCCTAGGGCCTGCGAAGCGCCAGGTGCCATGGTCGCAGGTCCATTCCACGATGCGTGACTCTGTCGGGTTGGCTCGTTTGGGAAGCTTTCCCAAGGTTGGATCCGCTGGAAGGCCACTACAAGGGGTGTGTGCATGTGTGAGTTTGGCTGGGATGGTGCAGTTATGTGCGATTAGTTTAAAGGGAAACCCAAAGAAACCTGTGAGACAAATCCAACGCGTTGCGCCGTTTTGAGGAGCAGCGTGAGCCACGTCAGCATGGACAGGCTGAGGATTTTCGAGGTTTGCAAGACTGACTGTGGGCCCCATGAAAGTTACGGGGAGTTGTTTTAATGTTTATTTTTGACATATGGGCAGAAAGAAGAACGCCCTCCCCAGAATTGTCAGCTTAGATTGAGCATCCCCTGTATGGCGCTTGCTGGATGGTGCTTGCTGAAAAAGGGAATCCAAAAGGGAGCCTCCATGTTGAGCCCTTTTCTTGCACACAGCTCCCACTTTCGCGGCGTAGCATGATGCATCTATGTCCTGACTCACCAGGTTTTCTGAGGCGCTCTCATGAAAACGTTAACAGGTACCAGCCAGAGCACATCGCCGGCCTCAGCCTCCAGATTCAACCATACACTTTTTCTCGCCACCCTGCTGAAATTGGGCCCACAAGTTGTAATCTCCATATTTTCCCGGGTCTTGCAGGAAAAAGGTTGTGCTCCGACCCTTGAAAGGTCTAGCCCTTTGAATGTGAAGTCCGTGTTCTGACACATCGTCGGCTCTCCTTGCATGCATCGGTGAACGCCTGGAAAGCAATGTCCAAACTGGTAAAGTGTCGGGACCAAAAGCCAGCTGTTCAACTTTTGGGGGCTATTAAACCAAACACAAAGAAACAACTTGCACTGTTCTTAGTTGTTTTTTTGTTTCTCCAGTCAGTTTGTTTGTTGGTATTTTGTGCAAGTTGAAAGTTGGGGTCAGCCAATGCACGTGCTGAACTGGGTTCTTGGGCAACATTCCGTGAGTGTTTTTGCGGGCTTGGTCGACTACAAGGCAGTGGTTGGGTGCCTCGTGTCCCTTTGCCTATTGAAGCTTGGTTCCAGCATGTTTCACTGTCACAAGGTGATGGCCACAGGGCACCACGACATCTCAAGATTGGCCCTGTGGTTCACGACAGGACCTTCCTGTACCTCCCAGCTCGTTGCCATTGGGTTTGTCCAATGACCATGGCGGTTTGAAGCATTAAAACCCCAAGCCACGGTGGCCTCCGCCACTCCATGTGCAATGAACCAAAAGTAGTGTCCGCCTGGCGGATCAATATGGTGTGTTCCCCAAAAGTGAAGGACACCCTGTAAACGGGGCACCCGCCATCTAATCAAAAAGGGTCTTTTAAACCGGTTTGTCCCTTCTTAAGCGTACCCTTTCTGGGCATGCCTTCAAAGAAAACCAGAAGGGGAACCACCGGATTGTTTGGAGTTCCATTTCTTTTGAAAGCCACCCGTGTGGACTTATCTACTATAAGGGCCTAATACGACAAAATGAGGTTGAGGGATGCTTTGAAACCAACTTAAGTCATGATCGTAAGAGAATACCCCGCTTTCACGAATTTATCATAATCCGAAGAACCATGATCAAGTGATAGTTACACAAGCAGCCAAATGACTTGTGTACTTGTTCAGCCCCTTCTATTTTGCTGCCCCCAAAAAAGGGAGCACAGCTTCGTGGCCAGGTCGGAGAGTTTGCTCCAGCCGGGCACGTTGGCGCGACCGAGTTGCGACTCCACTGAAACTAAAGGACTGATGAAGTAGAGGTTTTGTTGCTGTTGTTTCTGAAAGGGACCTGGAACCGGTGCTTTTTTTTACCAACCCCGGCTTGGGCCTCGGGGCTTAGCCGCTTTGTTCGCCCCGGGCAGGGGATTAGTTGGTTGGGCGGCTGGGCGGGTATCCACATCCTCAGCACCGGCCCCCGCTCAGGTTTGATTTTGTGGCAGTTCAGAGTTGCTCGGGGCTGGTTTCGGGTGAGCGTTGGGCTTGCTGAGGTCTTAGTGAGGTTGGGTTTGTTTGGTGTTCATTTAGGTCCGGCAAAGGCCGATATCCAGAGGATGTTGAGAGGGTTTAAGGTGGACTTTGAGTCGGTTTGGGTTGGCTTGGAGCTGATTTGCGCTAGGTGTGCCAGCCCAAAACTTGCTTGCTGCATAACCACGCCCTGCAGCCCAAACGGTACTGCAAAAACCATCCAACCCCAAACAACCCAAGACCCGCCCTAACTAAGACCGCAAGCCCAACACTCACTCGGAACCAGCCCCGAGCAACTCTGAGCTGCCAGCAGATCAAGGCCGATAACTTGGCAGCCCTAGTCCGAGGGCCGACGCTATGCGCCCCGCCGGACTGGCCAACCAGGCCAACCTGAGAGCGAAGCAAGCGTTCCGAGGCAACCACTTTAGAGTCACGGGGAGGCCTTGTGCTGAGCCGGGGCCAGCAAAAAGCCGGGGCTAAAAACAAACAAACACCTCAACCAAGGAACTACAGGCCTTTGAAGGCCTGTCAGCTCTCATTGCAGGTTAACTCTGTAGACGTTCTTCTCTGGCTGCAGCGCTCGAGGACTAGTCACAGTCTAACCCTGTTCTTTGACTTGAGACTCGCGCCCCATGCCGGTCTAATCAAGAGTTACATTTGCGCGTTGTACCTGTTGCAACATGTGTTTACTTGTGCAAGGGCAACACTGTGCCCACCCTCACTTGTTGCTTATTTCTGCAGATTGGTTTCTAAGTTCATGCCTCAACACAACCCGCAATGATTCTAGCCATGGCTTGTCCTGTTGGACAGCGCCTTACATAAATCAAACCATGCGTGAAAACTGGGGATCTCCCTTTGTGTTAATGAGGGTCATATCGGTTTCCCGTCTGAACTCGTCCTTGTTAGTACATACGGGCGCCTGTCTCCAAGAACGGTGGTTCCCCCTCGGCCCAAGAAGGATACGACGTGATGTCGTGGAAGGGTCATTTCCACAGAATCACTATAGATCCTCCTTCGGAAGCAGTCTCTCCTAGCCCATGGCTATCTACAGCCTATGGCCTTCAGATTTCATGGACCGCTGGGAGATTTGCGGGGATCCATCACTGGAGAAGCCTCTTTCTCTCTTCCTTCCTTCCTTCCTTATTTCCTTTCTTTCTTTCTTTCTTTCTTTCGTTCTTTCTTTTATTCTTTCTGTCTGTCTGTCTGTCTGTCTGTTTGTCTGTCTGTCTGTCTGTCTGTCTGTCTGTCTGTCTGTCTGTCTGTCTGTCTTGCTTTATTGGATTATTTCTTTCTTGGGTAATTTATTTATTTCTTTATGTTTTTTTTTTTTTTTTTTTTTTTTTTTTTTTTTTTTTTTTTTTTTTTTTTCGTTTCTATTTTTCTTTCTCTTTCTCTTTTTATTTTTATTTTTCTTTCTCTTTCTCTTTCTCTTTCTTACTCTCTCTCTCTCTCTTTCTCTCTCTCTTGCTCTCCTTTTTCTCGCTCTCTCTCTCTCTCTCTTTCTTTCTCTCTTTCTTCCTTTATCCCTTTCTCTCTTGATCTCTTTCGCTCTTTTTCTCTTTCTTCCTTTCTCTCTTTCTCTCTTTCGTTCCTTATTTCTTTCTTTCTTTCTTTCTCTCTTTCGTTCCTTATTTCTTTCTTTCTTTCTTTCTTTCTTTCTTTCTTTCTTTCTTTCTGTCTTTGTTTCTTTCTTTCTTTCTTTATGTATTTCTCTCTTTCTCTCTTTCTCTCTCCGAGCGACTCCGCATTGCGCTGGGAATGCAAGACCACCTAAACAAGGCACCTTATCTAAGGAAATCTCATCTGTACAGCGACCTCATCCAAAACACTAGCATCGCAGTGGACGCCAATTGCACGAAGTACTGCGAGAACTTCTTCTCAGCCTCAACCTGAAACATGTTGCTCCTTCTTTTGCACAGCAAGAGAGCAAAGTTGAACAAGGCATCCCTGAAAGACTTATTGAGACCAGCAGTCGGCGAATCAACTGGCCTTGAGTCGGCGAATCTCCAAGTCCTCGTGTGCCGCCAACCCTTGGGCCTCAGGAGTCGGCCCCACTCACAAGCCACCTTCAAGTTGGCAGTTTCTTTGTGCATCCCTGGGAACCGAGGCATCGATCGTTGCCAGCAGAGTTGCGCCATTGCTTGAGCGGAAAAGCTGCGCCTGGAAAGCCAGTGGGAGGGTCGCCCGTGTGTTCACTTCGTCCCTGAATCTCCGTTTTATGCACAGGCTACCCATTAAAAGGATCCACCCCACAAGGGCTCCCTTTGTCGATGGATTCTGGATCTCTGGGCATTCAAGGTCCCAAGCGAGCGCGCAAGCTGGCGGAAAATGCAACAGTTGTCTCTCTTTGGGCATGTTGAAAGCCCCTATGGCATCGTTCATTCGGCAAGGTCCCAAACAAAACCAAATTGGGAGCTGCTGTTGCCATCCTGCAGGATGTGCTTCTTAGAGCATCAAACCTCAAGTGCGTTATATTTCTTGACATGCCAAGTTGCAACTTGCATATCGCCATCAATGTCCAGAAGATATCCCAACAACCAAGGAGGTTGAGTGATGTTTTCAAGAGGGGCGTCCTTCGACTTGCTTCAAGTTGCACGCGAGGTTCACCAAATCTGTCGAGAAGCAACTACCTAGTTTTTGGTTGGGGAGCAAAAGCTGAACTGTATATATAGAATGGGGCTTTGTGGGATGTGTTTACACCACAGGCAGCCGACTGCCAAGCGGGAACAAAAACATCTCGCCTGCTTTGAGCGCCAGGGGTCACCGCTCACACGGGGCCAACGGAAGCGGACCCAGCGGCCCAAATCCGCCGAAGAAGGACTGGTGGGTCCAATTGTCCTGCACCCTGACAACTGAAGAGGCATCATATCTCCAAAGGTGGATTTGAACGCCTTCCGGGATGTGAGCTCAGGTTGAGAGTGATGATAGAAGAACTTCCGAGGGTTCCTCGTTCTCCTTAGGCAGAGGGGAAACGGTTGGCCGAACGAGTTCCTCATGGAAAATGGAAAGTCACGTAAAAGTCTTTGAGGGCTCCTAGATATTCTCTAGCTGGTTAAGACACAAACCACTCAGCCCATTGTTCAGTGAGACAGGGAGAGAGAGAGTACGAATTAGGACCTTTATCCATCAGTCCTTGGTTGGCAACCTCCAAACTAGACCACCTCTGAAAAGGGATGCTAACTTTGACTGTGTCCAGAAGTCTATTATCAACTTGGGAGCGACGCAGAGAGCCCACCAAAATGTCCAACCACCCTTCCGAATCGATCAAAGATGGCATCATTAGGCGTGCTACCTGGCTCCACTGTTTCTGCAATATACGTTTGCTTGTTGTTTTTGGTGGGGGAGGGGGTCTATTCATGTTTAGTGAGGGCTGTGAGCTATTTGTGCAGAAACCAGGATAGCTGAAGGAACGTGTGGACAGAACAATTACCGTTATAAAATAGAGGTGGTCGCTCGTTTGATTTCTCATTTGGTTTCGGGTATGTTCCTTTCGGGGATTCGGTTGTAACTACAGCCTTGTGCCTCACATTTCCAACAGCGCAATGTTGTGACTAGTTATTGTTACATATTGCTTAGACATGGTCCAAGCAAAGCACACACGACCCGTGGTGAATTGCAAGGCATTGACAAACACGCCAATCACGGCGTGCCAAGCTCTACCCCCTCCCCCTCAGGACTCAGGACTAAACTCAGGAACCAAGCTCGAACCTTACTGCAGGAGCAGGCTCCTCCAGCCCCAGCCCCTCTCAGCGAGAATCCGGAGGTGTCGCGGCGAGAATATACATCAAAAACAGATCAATCCTTGGATGCGCAGCCGGGACTGCATCGATCGCCCAGGAATTTGCTGGCCTTTTGCGGATCGACACGGGGCCTATGGATCGACCCTTTTGGCGGATTTTGGAAACAGTTGCGGTTCACTTTCTGGCTGAGGGTGCTGGCCACGACCGGAAGTATCGATTTGGTTTCACGCGCTCGGTTTACCCCAAAGGTTTGGCCCCAAAGGTGGGAGAGGAGTTGGACACCGTTTCTACCTGAGTCTCCATTTGATGTGTACTGAAGTTTAGGTTCCATGTGATTAAGTATTGTTGGGTTTCCATGGAATTCAGCACTTTGGACTTCAGATTCCACTTGATGTCGTATTGCGAGCAACTTTTGCCCGGAGCCTCCATTGGAGGTATTGACATGAGTTTCATGTGATACAGTATTGCTGGATTTCAATGTGGATGTGATTTCGTGTTGCTGGATTGGAGGTTTGATATTCATAGTTGAGTCGCTGGAGCTTCCCTTGAGATTGACTTTCAGATGCCATTTGATTCAGTATTGCTGGGGCTTCGGCTTGAGATTGGATGTGAGTTCTGTTTTCAATCGCTGAGGTTTCCTTTTGAGTTTATGTAGTATCTTCCCCAGAATTAGCTCCCCTTTTGGATTTTTGGCTTTTTTGGGGTCCCTTTGTTTTCCACTAACCAGGCAAAAATATATTTGTTTGCTGGGGTCCTAATTCCAGCCTGGGTATGTGCAGGTGGCAACAGCTCACTGAACCTGTATATTACTTCAGGGAGGGGCGTGAAGTACTGCGCCCTTTGTACGAATGATGCTGGGCTGCTTTCACATAAGGTTCGGATTGCTTTAGCAACGACGCTGCTTGCTTGAGTGTTTGCTAAATGGTTTGGTGAAACAACACTTTAGCTATAGGGGCATGAATTGACAGACACATCGTTACTGGGCATTGATTGCTTTTGGGCGATCATTAGTGGGAAGGGCTTGCAATGGTAGCACAGACGTGGTTGAAAGTCCGACAACCCGCTAGGTATTGGTTCGGCATCATTTCTTACGGAACCTGACATTTGTTACACGACACCGCTTCGGACTTTCGTTTGCCCCAGGGGAAAAAAACAGCCCCTTCACCCGGTGATTTGGTTAGCTCAAAGCAACATTTGTTGCTCGTTTCAGAAGATTGGACCCATGCTTTTTGTTTATTTTATTGGTGACCTGACATGCGCCACAAAACCAAGAGCAAAGGGGGGACACATGGTTTTATCAGCCCTATCGCTCGTGTGTGGCACCGTGGTGATGTTGTGTCCCATTTCTGCACCTATCGAGTCAGCATCACCTGTAAGTTGTTACATTCCTTGTTCTTGCCATAGTTTGAGACACTGTTCGCCGCATTGTGTGTTCCGTACGCATATTTTCGGCAACGGCAGTGTGCAAGAAGCCACGCCTTTTATCCCATCAATGCCCTCGTGCAGGTCGCAGCGATTTTAGTGGATTTGAACGCCCAGCCCCTTCGGCATGGGGTGGACGGCGTTTGGTTTTTCCAGGTTTGTCCAAGGCGACGGTTTTTGGTTAGTCAAGGCGACACAGGCGTACTCCCTTCTTTCCGGACCGTGGGCAAGTCTACGCAGCGCTAGCCGCTAGCCCGTACCCTTGGCATGGGCCAAAGTTGCTTAAGATAGTCCAATCAGCATTGCAGCCTTGAAAGGGATTCCAGCAAAAGGATGCGAGGATTGAACAAAACATCACCGTGAGCCGGCAAACCGGACAACCGGTTGGGAAAACAGGGCATCTCTTTCTGCACATGGGTGGCTCTGCATTTGTACCCCCAAGATGTCTTCGGGTTTCCGTTTTGTTTTCCCTTTACAACCGCGAAAAAGGCGGTACCCTCAACAAACGCAAAAGAGACTCCCATACTTCCATAATGAAGTGTTCTTGTTGCCTCATACGTTTGGCTGAGCTCAACTTGGAACGACCTCAGGTATGACAAAGGTTCCTGACTTGGGCACTGTTTCTTCAGCAATGCGATCACTCGCAGCTATATAGTTGTATAGCAGTACGAGGGATGGTTGGGCCCTTGTTCAGCCATGCTCATCCAGGAAAAGCTGGGCATGGTGACAGATGGTGCCATCCACCCTGGTTTGCATCCAAGATACTTTTGGCTGCGACCCACTGGTGGAGTTCTGCACATCGATGGCTCTGGCTGACCTTGTTTCAGAATGTAATACCATCTCTTTTCCCAAGAGGACACATGAAGCTTCCTGAGCAGTCGCCTGGAAACAGTCGGCTCGTAAGGGACCCATGTATTCGGAAAACCCCGACCCGGTCTTTTGGACCCCCATAAACCAACAGCTAACGTGGAGGTCAAAAACAGATGTGCGGTTGGATAAATATGTTCCCTTTTGCCCTTTGTATGGCCGAACCATGGCCATGCTCGAAGATCAGATGCTTACTGTCAATGTTTGCTTTCAAAAGACAGCACCTAGTGCCTGGAGATGCACTTTGTGCGGCAATTTTGGAACCAACGGCATGTTGTGCAAATATCATGTTTTCACGGGACTTGGCTGCAATCCTTTAGGTGTTGAAGCGAGCACACTATTTAATTGTCCTTACAGAAGTCACTTGAGCATGATCTTTAACTTTTTGCATTTCCCTCATATTTCCTATTAACCAGAAAAACAAACATAGACTTTTTGCTGGGGGATCTACAGCACCCAAGATGTGTGGCTAGCCCTTTTCCTTGCGTCCCAGTTCTTCCGCTGCAGTATCTTCCTCCGCTACTTGGTTCCGCCAGGCTCGAGAAGACGAGGAAGGAAGACATCGCCTCCCGCAAGAAGACCTTCAAGCGGGGCATCCCAGGGTGTGCCATGTGCAAACCTGCAGGGTACGCTTATTCCTCAAATGTGTTCTTGTTTTTAAGACTTTGGGCCGCAAGTCTACCTTGCCGCAATCAAGCTTGGAGCTCGGTGCCGTCTTCCTTTTTGCGCGTTGCCATGCTTTGTGCGGTAGAGACAGCAAACATTTAGCTGTGTCCAAGCTAGGGAGCATTGATAGGACTCTTTTAAAGGGGAGCTAACGTGAAACCAATCCCAGGGTAGGTCCTGATTTTCGGCCGATTCCCATGTTGTTGTTTTACGGATTGCTGCAAAACCAGAGGGACACAAACAACGACATGTGTTTGCGAATAGAGCCTATGTCTTTCCAATGGATACCATTCGTGTCACCGCTTTTCAGAGAGCAAAATTCAAAGCTGCGCTTCATCGCACAGACTGAATTGTCGCCACCTCTCAAGCAGAGTAAAGATACCTCCCTATACAGAAAACTCCTTTCTCCAGAGCGTCCTTTGTGGAGAATCGCTGTTGAAAGGCACCCAG